GAATTTATGCCTACATTAACCTTTCCAATCTCTGAATTGTTTCTGAATGTCATTTTTTCTTGTTTGTTTTGTTTTTTTGTTTTTTGAGACAGAATTTCTCTGTGTTGCTTTGGAGCCTATCCTATCACTTGCTCTGTAGACAAGGATGGCCTGGAACTCACAGAGCTCCTCCTGCCTCTGACTCCTGAGTACTGGGAATAAGTCATGTGCCACCATAGCCCAGCTCATGAATGCCATTGCATTATTGTGGAAAAAATTAAATTATGAAGTGTTTATACATCACAAACCATAATGAATTATAGTTTTCATCCAATTTATTTCTTAAGCATGATCTACCAATAAAGTATCTTTTTTTTACAAAAATAGCATCTTAATAATTGTTAAAAATTTGCCAGCCACTTCTATAATTCATTTGACTTCCTAAACTAAGTGAAAAAATCAAATATTGTCAATCTAACTGTTTCAAATCTAGAAAGATAAAGAGGTTTAATTGAGATAATCTCTTAGGTTTTCAAATTTTAATTCCATTAATTTTTGAAAGTCTGTATTTTAAATATCATATGCATTAATATAGTTTAATAAAATCTACAGTTTATACAGTATGAATCTATTTTAGAATGCTAGAATTTATCATTCTTCACAGACTTCATTAGCATAAAATTAAATCAAAAAAAGAAGCAAAATTATAAACTCTACATTTCATAGTGGAAAACTAAGATGCTCCAAGAGTCTAATCAAATGATAACTCTTCCTCACTGGGAATTCTCAGACAGTCTGAGTGTCCCTGGTCCTTGGTGTTTGCATTGTGTCAGTGGGTTCACAGGCTCTCAAATCTTGTATCCAACATCTCTCAGTATAAATGACCCCACCCCATAGGAAAAGATCCTTTGAGGGAACCCCAGCCCCTTGGGCAAAATACCTTTCCTTGTGTGATTTCATTGCTTCTCTGTTTCAGCACTGTGCTCAAACAGTACATACACAGCATAAACACTTAAGATGATGTGGGTACCAGTGACTGATATTGCTTTCTACTGCTCATCTTTCTGCTTCCCTTAGTATCAATAACCTGTTAATTTATGATTGTTCTTAGAGAATAGAGCCAAAAATAAATTCAATTCAATTTGTAGACTCACAGGAGATGCAAATAAAAGAAGTTTACGATATTCCATTTAGTGCTGTCTGGCTTATCATCCCAGAGAACCCAGGAGCTCTGGTAACTACAGCAGATGGTCCCAAATACAGAGGACACGGACTTAGGGCTTTAACCACCTCATAGATTCATTCTCAGAGGTCCATAGAGAAAGGAAGAAAGGAGAGTCTGGCTGTGAAAGTATGCATGCCACCTTTAAACACAATGCGCTTTGCAACATTTTCTGCACCCTCTAAAGACAGATGCAGAGGAAGTCAAATAAAATGATTGTTTCAAATTTAAATCCAAGAATTTGCCAACTTTAATTGCAGTTTTCCTTCCAAGAGCAATTAGCAATTTTCTTTTCAGATTGGTCACAGCAAGGAGTGACCTCAGCTTTCTTAAAGGGGCACACCGACCAGACTGATAAGTATGGGTATGTGGCTCCCCTCAGTGGCCATCAAGAACATTGGCACAGTTCAGAAAAGGTATGGGCAAGGTAAAGCAATAAGCAGCAAAGCTCACTGACCCCATGTCCTCACCACCAGCCAACAGCTGCTGTATACATAAAGATGAGATGATAAATGGATACAGGTAGAATCTGGGGAGACTTTCTTTGTGAAGAAAATCAATTTCAAGTGACAGAAGTGCCAAGATCATTCCCAAAAACTCCTGGAGCTTTAAAGAGTTGGAGAAGCAGTGACCTCAAGGGAGGGAGAAGCCAAGCCTCATCTGCAGACCAGTTCATTGATACCTTCAGGTTTACAAAAGTAGAACAGATATGATAACACTCAGGGAAAGCTAATTCCAGAACCTTCCAAACCTGGCAAGTAATATAAAATGAGAGCAGACACAATGAAAAATGTTAATGTGCAGAATATATTCCAGTTGACAGTTTCTCAGCATAAGTAACCCCCAGAGGTTCCCAGTTGGCCCTTCAGCATTTCATAGAATCAGGATTTCTGGGCCTTGGCCCAGGTTTCAACCATGTTTCCCCAACGAAGCTTCCATTTTCTGAGAATGAGTCTTTCACAGAGGCTTCTCAATTCAAAGAACAACTTACAAAGAATGGAAAATGTTTTATAACAAACACAGGAAGATATATCTGCTTCTAAATGTATACCCTTCTGCATTTGTGGGGATGAGTCAGATCCAAATCTGTAGACTATAACAAATAAGCATTGGTGTTCACCTAAGTAAGAGCTGGGAGGGAAGCATGGCCAACCTCACTCTACCAATAACCCCTACCCAACAAGGCTAATTTGTCAATTATGATAGCCCACCCACCTCTTGAATATGTCTTCCTCACAGACATGGTGGCTTGTGTCTCCCATCTAAGCACTCAGGAGCTGGAGGCAAGAGGACTACTATGGGTTCAAGGCCAGTCTGGGCTATATTGAGTTCAAATTCAACATCAACTACAGAGTGAGACCGTCTCCAAAACCAAAACAAAGCAGAAAAGGTCTTTACTAATGCATGCATGAACTCTTTCTTTCCTCCGCCCCTCTCTTTATTGCCTTTTTCCTCCACCCCTTACCTTCTCCTGGTATCTTCTTAGTGTGGCTGTCTCTTCTAATCCACAGTGTCCTCCTTCCAAATATTGCATTTTTTCTAGAGTAAGCACTTGACTCCAACGCCAGGCTTTGATGGCTCATGCCTTTAATCCCATCACTCAGGAGGCAGAAACAGGAGGATCTCTGTGAGTTTGAGGACAGCCTGGTCTACAGAGCAAGTTCCATGACAGGCTCCAAATCTACACAGAGAACCCCTGTCTTGAAAAACAAAAACAAACAAACAAAAAAGAACTTGACTCCATTGACTGGTGACTGGAGAGTCAGTTCATTGGTTAAGAGCACTTGTTGCTCTTACAGATGCCCTGAGTTTGATTCCCAGCTCCCACATGGAGTCTCAGAACCACCTGAAACTCCTATCCCAGAAGATCTGAAGCCAATGTCCTCTTCTGACCTCCACTGGCACCAGGCAGGCACTCGGCACATACTTGGCACTGGCACATACATTCAGGCAAACAAAACACTCACACACATTAAAATAATAAACTAAATAAGTCTGGAGAGAAAAAGAAAGAGCTTGACTTCACTCTCTTCATGTGTTCTCTCTAATCGTCTAATGGGTTTTCCTCAGCCTCCTGTTATCACTAACACGTTAAGCAGAGTGTCTTAAATGGTAAGTTACTAAAGTCATTCCACCACAGTGTATAATGGAGTTGCAGAGCTTCAAGTCCCAGGGCGTCTCAAGACACAGCATGGCAGAGCAGTCTGCTGGCAGCCTACAGAATCTCTAACTCTTTCAGATAGTGGAGTTGAGGCTTAGAGCCTGTAAACATCTTGCTCACTTACAGTTCCCTGTCTTTCAAAGCTTTTCAGAAACTAAGTGTCCACCGTTTCTAGCACTGCCCCTTACAGAAAACATTCTGTGAGCAAAGTTTAAGATCTAGTGTGCAGTGAGAACCATAACTTAAATAACCCACCTGGCAACAGTGTCTGTGAATGTCTGTGTTAGAAACAATCTACTTTCTAATTTATGGCTATTTTTTCTTTCACCTTCTTTCTTCCTTTCTGTTCATTCAGTGTGGATAATTAGCCCTTTTCTGATAAATGTCTCTTCCTTGGTTATTGTGTAGTAACACAGGTATGCTCTCATTTCTAAAGGGGATCCTTTTTCATCTGCCAACTGTCATTAAAAATCACATGTGCTTTTCCAGTAGGGTTTTTTTTATGTTTTGTTTGACAAGGGGAGGCTAATTGCAGCTCTCTCTCATGGCCTTCTTAGTACTGTCAAGTTAACCATGGGTTTTCTGTGCTGGGAAAGGTTTAGCTAAGGCCTGGAATCCAAAATAAGGGCAACAATAAATACCAATTATCCCCAGGCCCTTTGCCCCTGCTGCTTTTCTAAAGCAGCAGACCCAGCTGCTGACTTCCGCAGAACTGGACCCTCTTAATGCTCTTGATACTGTTGTCTTTGGAGTTCTATTTTGGGTCCTATGCTGTCCTTACCAATAGCAGTGGTTGCATGAGGGGGCTGGTGAGCAAGCACCCTCCTCCCTTCCTTTTGAACCACCTTCTTTCTCTTCAGCATCTGCAGTCATGAGAGACAGCAAAAGTGATATGGTTATCCATCTAACACTTATTTTGTCAAGGCCTAACTTGAGAAAAATTCAATTGTAGGACAGAGATTTATCAAAGTGAAAACTGCATGTACTATTCAGTATTGGAGGAGACAGGTAATGTGTCTTTCTCATTTGTACAATTCCTTACTCAACCAGTGACTTATTAAAAGGGGAACTAGAACTATGGAAAAAACATGTGATGTAATTTAGTCTACCAGAAGAGGAAGACCAGGTTCTCTATAAAACAATTGGGTATTGAAGTAAACAGAAAACTGCGGGCAATCTTACTAAATGGGTGGCACAGTACCATAGATCACAGTACCAGCAGAACACAATGGCACAGATGCTGGTTACAGTGACCTCTGGTGTTCTCTAGTCAAACAACCCACAGTTCCAAGAGCAAGTGTTTTTCCCCTTCATTGTGTTTGACAAGCACCAAATGTAACCATGATTTTTGGAAAGGGGCTCTGCACACCATCATGGCACATAATCTCATCTCACCAATCTAAGGAAACTCCTTTCCTCATTTTTGCCTTTAATTTTCTAGTCACTGTTCACAAATAGCAGGGTAACATAACCTCCAATGCAACTATCCATTCCATGCAGCAAGATTTTAGGCAAAGGCTTTATTTTCTTGACTTTCCCTGGGAAATCACAAATTATCATCACTAGAAAAGTGTTTGGCATTGACATGCAGGTTCCTTTGTGAAATGAATTCTGCTCTTGTTTCGAATGTATTTATTTATCTTTTATTCAGAAGTTTTGTGAAATTTATTTGAAAATTTCCTGCACATGTTTTGATATTGCTTCATTTAATGATTCATTAACTTTCATACCATTTGAATAACAGCTTTAAAATTGGTTTCCTGATGGTGTGGTTTCCCAGAATTTACAAATCTGAAGTTTTGTTATAGACCCCGTTACACCTGGAAGTACATTTCTCACATCATGCTCTTCTCCTGATGAGAGAAGGGGAAATATAATACACAAATTATTACATTATTTTATTGTTGTTCTTTTTTTGTTTTCATTTTACATACTATCCCTGGGTTCCCTCCACTCCCTTCTCCCACCCCCTTATTTCCCCTCATCCCATCCACCATCCATTCCTCCAGAGGGTACTTGCTCCCTTGGGGAGTCCACAAAGTCTGGTATACCAAGTTGAGGCAGGACCAAGCCCCTCCCCGCTGTATCAAGGTTGAGTGGGGTATCCCTCCATAGGAAATGGGATCCAAAAAGCAGATTCATGTACTCAGAATAAGTCCTGGTCCCACGACCAGAGTCCTCCCCAAGAGATCACAGATTCAATTTTAAATATCATCATTCACAAAGAAGATAGTACACATCAAAAAATAGTTAATTAGATTGCAGAGAAATACAGATAATGGAAATTTTCATTAAATTGTCTTTTAAGCTCTTTAAGTTGTCTTAATATGAAGCATTTCTAAACTCTTGCCTTCGGAAATTAAGAATGACGCAAACTGTGCTTTGGCCAAGCTGAGCCTGGCCTGAGAAGTAGGAATGGGTTAGTTAACCTAGAGAGAACTGTTTTTGACATCGCACTGGTCTGTTTTACAAAGCAGAGCCAACAATCAGGCAAAATCTCTTGCTTCATACAAATACACACACACACACACACACACACACACACACACACACACACACAAAACCAATTTCGTTAAAAACAGTTTAGTCCTCTCAGGTTCTACTTACAAAACTGATAAGCAAAAGCTTAGACTACAGGATATGAAGCCAGTGTTTCTCATCTCTTATCCTGCACAAAGAACCAGTTATTGAAAGCAAATACTTCTAGAATTGCTCAGATGTATCTTATTTGCTCTTGTCTCTCCTGTTCATTTTCTCCACTGAGCAATGTCACCATGCTCTCAGGACAGGTGAGTAAGTGAGAGGCTCTTTCCAAATGAGTCAGCATCATACACAGTTCATCTTTTCAGAAGAATTCCAAAATTTTCAGTTAGTAGACTATGGTTATACATATACTTTAGTGTTTCCTAAAGCTCTGTATTTTCACCTCATTCAACTACTATAGAGGTAGACTCATACACGAAAAAGATAAAAAGATTAGAAATTATTAATTTTAACTAAAATGAGGACATATTTTACACATAATTATCAAAATTGCTTCTCAATTAGCAATGGAGTCATCAGACCAAATATGAATTTTATGATTGGCATTTTAAGAAAGTAATAAAAAGAAAGAGAGGAGGAAGAATTTGTGTTTGTCGAGAAAGAGATCTTTTAAAATGCCCATATGCTGAAGGTGAACTGAATCTTCTAGTAAAAGACATACAAGTGGAAACAATGATTACATACAAACCCAATATTAAAATGTAGAAGAAAGATTGGCTGCCATCTGTTCTTTTACATAAGTTAAAACAAGGTAAATAAATTAGAGATCTATTTAGAACCAAACAAAATAATTATGGATTTGTTCCAGAATAGCATTCTTATTAAGGGTTCCTCAAAGGGAACCCAGAAACACATGAGCACAGCCTAGAGAAGCAGAACACTCATCTAGAGATGCCAGACAGCAAGCTGGACCAATGATGGTCCCCAGATCCTCAATTTCATTGAGTAGAAGAAAGAGCAATTAAGCATTGTGATGCAGAAGTCTCTGTTACCTTGTAAATTGATGCTTATTACATCACACTTCTTTAATAAACTGATAGCAATAACTGAAGAAATAGAAAGGTTAAATTATACATATCATTTAGGCAATAACTCTCAAGAATAAATACAATACAGTGAAACCTGTACCAATGAGATGGCAGAGAGCTTACAAAAACCTGTACCTCCAGTCCAGAGGATCATATGCATCTGGGCTCTGTGGGCACACACATGCATAGTGGCAAAAAGACACTTAACTAAAAACAACAAAATTTAAATTTCAAAGATGGTTTGTTGGTTGGTTGGTTGGTGGGTGGGTGAGTGGGTTGGTTAGTTGGTTGCTTTGTTGCTTGGTTGCTTGGTTGCTTGGTAGGTTTTGAGAGATGATCTTGCTGTGATACTTAGCATGGCCTCAAACTTACATTTCTTGCCTCAGTCCCCCAATCAGCTGGTATTCTATGAATGCACCACCATATCTGGCTTGAAATATATGATTAAAATAAAGCTAATATCCTCTTTGTGGAGTTGTTTTGGGTGTTAATGGATTTCATCATTGTTACTATTGTTGATTCTATGCTTAGCAATGTCTTCGTGCAAAGATGTGTAGCAGAAGAGTATTATGGGCTATTAAGCCCCCCACCACACACACACACACACACACACACACACACACACACACATTAGTTTTGTCTCTAGCCATTAGAGTCACATCCCATAAAGGAAACATACAGAATGCCAAATTTAAACCTCTAAAGAAATTTGTTTTCACTGATCTGCTTTAGAACCTAAAACAGACAAATTAAAACACAAAGGGACCCATGGAACTTTCACAATGACTCTACAACTTCTCACCTCCTGTCCTGCCCCAGGCACCCCAGGAAGGGGTCTTAGAGATTAGTATTGGCATGGACCTGAAGTACATTAGTCTTCTAGTAACTTCAGAACTGTCTGAAACTGGGGGTGGGGGGTGCTCAGAAGAGGTTTACCTTGTCTTCCTTTTTTTGTTGTTGCTATGTTTCACGTTGTTCATTTGGGGTTTTTTGAAAACCAAAGAAAGAATAGGCGGCTGGACAGACAGACAGAAAATTGCCTGAAGCTGGATTATCGGTAGCTTAAGAAATAATCTTTTAAGTGTATTGCCAAACATACCACAAAGAGTTCTGAAATAGCTCTCCAGCCAAAAAGCTGAGGCGGTGTGGTAACCACACACCTCAAACTGCTTTTCTGACCTCGGAGTCTTTAAAATGCTACTTTCATCTTGCTAAAAAGGTGCATAAGTCTAGAAGGTTTGAAGCTTCCGTTACCATATCTGCTCTCATTTTTTTTTCAACTGGAGCTTGAATCGTTAGGATATTTTTATATAGTAATGAGAAAAAATTCCTGGAATTCCCTGGAATTTCAATAGATACAGCTATTTTGGTTGCATTTTCTTTGTTTTCATTTTTATTTTGAAAGCTAGAAGAAAACAAATGAAAAAAATGACACTCAGTATTCTCTGCCTCTTTTGTTCAATTTCTGGAGCAGGTATAAGAGGAGCAGGCAAAATTAAAACTGGAGTGTTAGGAATTAATATTTACATTTATTGTGATAAATGCAGACAATACGAGTGTATACATCAGAAAACAAAGACCCCACTCTTCCCTATACTATGCCCTCAGGATGATATAGATTTGTACTGTTTCTTATTCTTATATGGAATTACAAAATGTCCCTGCAATTAAATATATAGTCGTCCTAACTTTCCAGTCTCCTTAAACTTACTGGGAAGCTATAAAATTAAATATTTTTGCTTCAAAATAAATAAATATTTGGTACCTATAACCCAAAGTACATACAAGTCATGGGCTGTCTACAACCTTCCAGGTATAATGTTTATGAAAATTAAATTGATATAACATTCAAGTAAAAATATTATAGTCAGAAGTGTGAAAGCCACTGAATCAGACACCCTGGAAAATAGTCTCAGAAGTAGAGACACGTTAGTCTGGGATGTCCATGGCAGCCAGCAAAGACTCAGATCCTTACAGACAGCACCTTCTCAGGAAGTCTGACAGAATTACCCCTCCTGGCAACTTGTTACGAGAGAGGCCACTATAAACTCTAGCACACTTTTGCTGTCCTTTTCTTCTGTTGTTTTGAAAAATATTTCCCCCTTTGTCAGCCACACCTCACTTAAGAGATTCTTGAATACCCAGCCTGGCATGCACAATGAAATGCATTGTTTAATGCCACAAGTTCCAAACTGCATGTGGTTTTGCTCTCCTTAGGCTAACAACTTGAGAGTGACGCAAATTTACAATTGTCATGTTACTTGTCTATGTGTCATCACCAAGCAACTATAGTGCCTGGGCTTCCCAGCGACGAAACGGTTTAGGCTGGATTTTCACTCTATGAGCCACCAAGTGCTAACGGCTGAAACTGCTCATAGTGTGGTTGCCTGGATCCGGTGATTCATGGAGATACTAAGTCTCTCACAGCCAGTGGTGTGCTGGGAAGTGGTTCACACCCGTTTCTCCAGAGCAGGGAGCAGCTTACCTTTGGTTTGTGACATCTACCAGTTCCTTTGGGATACATATCTCTGTCCTAGTCCATTTGAAGATCTCCACACGAAGCCAGCTACTTCAGGCATAGGAGGCGATACAAACACCCTTGTCCTGAGACCATCTGCAAGCTGCTGCCAGCATCTCTCTTCATGGAGACCTTAAAAGCACAAATGGAAGTTAGAGACACCCAAACTTGTCACCCCCCCCCGCCCCACCCTAATGGCTAATGGAGACCTGGATACCCTTTCTCACCATTCATGGCATCCTTCTCCCCTCTAGAAAACTGAGATCAATTGCTGAACTACGCTTTCGATCTTGGACCTTAGTCTGAACTCTTATCCTCTTGCCATATTGCTTATTGCATATTTGGTATTCTTGTCACCTGTGTGTGGGGGGGGGGGGGAATTGGGAAAACAGAAAGTATAAGCATCTCCATGATTGTTTTTCATGCCCAAAGCAGTAAGGGCTTATTTCCTCTGGCAAAGGCTGAAGTCAAAAGCAAGGCTAAAAACTGTAATTATTTCTGAAAGCACAGTTTCGAGAAACAATGCGATGATCAGCACCTTCTACTAAGATGCCTCCCCACCCCTTAACTTCTAGATTCACCACAAATTGGTCCACATGGTAAATTCACAGCACAGTGTCTGCCTCAGCGAAGCAGTAGATATGAGTTTGCTGAATAACTAAGTAGAAATGCAACTCTTACAAGGAGAAAATGACCATAATTACCCTCCGCTATTTTTATTGTAGTAACATGAAAGTCATTGATAGAAAAAGACATGGTCAGGTGATTTCTCAATTTAGTAGGGAAAGAATTAGCTTGCTAAATTATGAAAGGAAGACATATTTCTAAAGTTACCCAAAATATTTGCTATGTGTACTGTCATTGTTCCTCCAGACTTTCAAGCCCAATGCACTGGTGCTTAGCCTCTGTGTGTTCACAGGCCAATTGAATAACTAAATAAATGATACTAAATGGGACCTGGAGACATGGATCAGCAGTTAAGTACATTTGCTGCTCTTCCAGAAGACCCAGGTTTGATTTCCAGAACCCACACTTCAGCTCACAGCCAGCTGTATCTCATTCCAGGGGATTCAGTGCCCTCTTACGGTATCTGTGGGAACTAGGAATGCTTGCAGTACAGACAGACATGCAGGGAAAGAACATTCTGAAAAGTGGCAATAAGTGAATATGTCTGACTCAGAAGTACACAACAAATATCGTTACTTAACTTTCTGTTTACCCAATGCTTCTGCAGTTTTTCTCTTCACTAGCACATAATACATGTTGCCTCTGACATAATCTCCTCCGCCTTGCTCCAACTGGGAAACCAGGAGGCAACTATGCCAGCAGTCACAAGTGTTCTGATCAGTGAAGATCTGCTGGGCTGGTGTGAGAAGTCAGGTTTTCTTAGGAAGCGGCAAGTCACTAACCTTGTTTCCTTAAGAATATGCATTGCTCCCAAGTTTCTTCCTTCTGTTTTCTAAGCCCCTAAGTTATTAATGCTTTCCCTAATTTTCATTGGAAATATCCTTCTCGCAGCTGTAAGTTGGTGTCTGCTGGCTGATCTACACTCTGTTTCAGGGATTTATGCAGTGGGGATGTTCAACAGATAAATGAATGGATGGTGTAAGATCAAAATCACCGTTCCAGAATATAAATGTGTGTGTTCATGTCCACTCAAATGGAAAATGCTCACTTAGAAAATATCTCATGGCCAGCATGGACCTGTCCTGTATTTTTATTCAATTCTGAGTCATGTTGGGAATCAGAAAATATAATTCTGTTTATCCTTACATTGAGTCAAATATCCACAACTTATGGTTATAGTTGCTCCAATCAGTTTGAAAGATCTTAGTTAGCCTGTTTTTATTACCAATGCCTCTTGAAAGCTAGGTGACTTCTTTCCGAATTAAAAGATTTCAGAATAGTACCATTGAAGTCAGCTCACCAGCTAGTTACTACTGTCTCTTCTGTTTAGTTAAATACCTAAGTGTCCAGGTTCTCCCCAGCTTGCTGCTCCATACCCCCAGAGGAAAGAGGCCATGGTTATGAAGAAGGAGTCAAATCCAGCAATTTGTGGGGAAGGGGAAAACTACAGCCTTTCTGAAGAGAAGATACTATGCCCAATATTTTCCCCTTCCTGTTACTTCCACTTTTCAGTTGAAGAAGATAACTCCAGCTAAAGTCAGTTGATTTTTTTTCTGTGCTTAGTCATACCTCATAGTTCTTTAACTCCAGTATACAGGCTATTTTAAATTTTATTTTTGTTTAATTTTATTTTATGTATACATTGGTGTGGAGGTGTCAGATCTCCTGGAACTGGAGTTATAGACAGTTGTGAGCTGCCATGTGGGTGCTGAGAGTTGAACCCGGGACCTCTGGAAGAGCAGCCAGTGCTCTTAACTACTGAGCCATCTCTCAAGTCCTGCACACAGGCTTTTGAAACTTTTTGTTATTATTGTTGTTTTGTTTTCTTTAGAGGACATTTCACCCAACATCTGCCCTATGTATCAACTGAAAACCAATACCTTGAATAGAAAACAAAAGTCTGTACCCACTGTTCAGTTTCCTCTTGGTTTTTCTCTTCAGTTACAGGTTGACTTTAGTGGCACTGGTGCATTAAAGAAACTCTATGGTTTGCAAGTCAGCCTGTCTGCCAAATCCCAACTGTGTCAACCCAACTTTGTCAGTGATAACAGGGCAGGGGAAGACAGATTAATGCAAACTTTAATCCTAAACTTCCCCAGTATTAATATCATGCAGCAGTTTCTCTTACACAGGGTACAGTTAATAACCATTTCTCATTCAGGCACCGAGATACAACACCGCCATTATGCTGGGTCCTTGCAACAGCTGAGTCACTCCTTCCATTTGGTGTCAATTAGGCTAATTAGTGGTTAGCAGATCCAGCTGCCCTTCAATCATTTGGAAATGGCTCTCTGAACAACTCAGGCACCAACTCTAAGGTCTCCTCACATACTGACACAAATGCTTTCACTGCTCAGGCAGAAACTGTTTAGAAAGATAGCATTTGATTGGTCATAATACTGATCCAGTCAGTTTCACAAACTACAGTTAATGATGGCCACCCACTAGTTCCATGGCTCTTGTCGGCCACCAACTGTTGCAGTACAATTTGTTGGCCACTGATACAACTGAATCCTATTATCTTTTCATCTCACCAGCTAGGTGGTCGGGGTGTGCTTCCCCCTGAGGGTGCATGTACCTGTTAAAACACTATTTCTTTTGGCTCTCATTCTCAATTCAGGCAGAGGGGATTAGGAGACCGGCTTTTAATTGTGCTTGCCTTTTTCTTTTGAGAATGCCAATCGTTCTGCAGTACCTTTTGTGATATGAAAATGAACACAGGATTAAAGCATATTTTTGATTCCTCACCAACCATTCGAGTCTTTCAGGCACCTTCCTTAAGCCAGTGGGTGTGATTATCAGGCAGCTCAAGCCTTGGCAGGAGGTGAACACTGAGCAATTTCAAAACCAAGCTGGCTTCTAGTGCTAAAGAAAATCACTGAGCATTTATGGACATCACTCAAAGAACCATTTAGCATTGTCCATTTAGTTATCAGACACAAATCTTTAAAGTTTTGACAGATGATCTTCTTCAGGACATTTAAATGATCCCCATACATACACAGAAAGCTTATGTAAATTGTAGAAAAACATTGGTCATTCTACCAATGGGCTTATTCTTGAAAAATAGATCTTCAAAGCACACTATTACTTATACCTCATAATTTCAATTTAAATAATATTGCTACATGACTCAATAATTCAGGTGTATAGGTCATCTTATTCTAGTGCATTATTAATATTATCAAGTTTTTTTATTCTAAGAAATTGGGTCTTTTTTTTCGAGACAGAGTTTCTCTATATTGTTTTGGAGCCTTTCCTGGAACTGCTCAGTAGACCAGGCTTGGTCTCAAACTCACAGAGATTCACCTGCCTCTGCCTCCCGAGTGCTGGGATTAAAGGCATGCGCCGCCACCACCCAGCTAGAAATTGGGTCTTCTTAGAGTATGCTTTTGCCACATTTGATTTCTTAATCAAATATTTTAAAAATTGTATAGGAAAATACCTAACAGTGAATTTCATGCCAGATTATATGTTAAAAATCCTCAAAACACATGATTGACATAAAAGTAAAGGTGGTCTACTTTACAAGTTAAATATAATCTGTATTTTTACTTTATAAATGATACATTTATTTGTAGTCTGTGTAACATATGTAAAATATATCTATATGTATATAGGTTAAGCCACATATAACAATTTCAAGCATACAATTGATTTACATATATAAATAATTAAAAAGCACTATTTTAAAAACATGGGTATTCTCATAAAAATGAGACACTATTTACAGTCTTAGAGAATTGTTGCTAGCATCAACAAAAAAATCTAATAAGTGAAAGGATCCATTTTGATTAACATTGGCTCTGCAGATTAAATAATACAGTGTTTTGAGTCATCCTACAAATTTATTAACACATTTTAAAGTATATATTCTGACAGACGTTGTTTATAACTATATCATCACATTTGTTTTGCTTTGACAATTTACTTTCTTGAAAATACACATCTATTTGTAGTCTGTAAATTCAGCTCACACAGAGTAGGTTGAAATTGGATAGCTACAAACAGATAGGAATGCCTTTGTGTATACAACAGGTTAAGGATGGGAGACTTATATTGACTTCTATTTGCCTAATTGTTGATTACCATCAAGACTCAATCTCAGATCTTTTCAATTAAATAGAACTTTTAAGGACTTTTTTCTTAAGTAGAATTACAAAAACCCATAGAGCTATAAAATATGCTACACGTGTAAAGTAAATTAACTTCTAAAAGTTGAGACATGGAGTAGAAAATTAAAACTATAGTTCTCTGCTGTCTCTTGAACTGATATTCCCAACATCAAAGCCTCAACATCTTTCCTCGACAAGCTCCTTGCACAAGCAAGCCACGCCCTGAAACTGCAGCTCCTGGGCCAAAGCTCATTTCCTTTCTTCACTTGAAAGTTGACTCTTCTGCATAACTCTTTGTCATTGCTTGCTAGGTCAGTTTCACACATGTGACATCCCTGCTTACCTTCACAAAGGTCCTCATGAAATGTGCCTTCCTTATTATGCATAGCACCCAAGCAATTCTCAGAAGGAAAAAGTGAGAGAAATCAATGAAATGGTGTCAAAGTCTAAGAAAGTAAAGTAGGAAAGTTAAAACTTACAAACGATACAGGAATTATAGTAAGGAAGTGTCTACAGAGTGGGAACATGGACTGCATGGGTTATTTTACAATTTTTACCAGTTATTTGTTAGGCATTCATTTCTTACATGTGTATGAAAAATGGTTAT